GTGGAGGGAGCATAACGCAGCAACGATAAAGGGAAGAGTGAAACAATCAAGGAACTGTAAAAAACTCTGTAGATAGATAGATATCTAGGAATTTGTGGAGCTCTGTATAGAAATATTTGTATGAAAAGGTCTATATCAGTGTTGTCCAACCTTGGCCACTTTAAGATGAGTGGACTTCAACTCCCAGAATTCCCCAGCCAGCATTGTCCACTCATCTTAAAGTGGCCAAGGTTGGACAACACTGATATAGACCTTTTCATACAAATATTTCTATACAGAGCTCCACAAATTCCTAGATATCTATCTATCTACAGAGTTTTTTACAGTTCCTTGATTGTTTCACTCTTCCCTTTATCGTTGCTGCGTTATGCTCCCTCCACTAATACTTTCACTTCTGGGTTTGATTTTAGCCTAGAGAGGAGGAGGGGAATAGGGGAAAATAACTTTTTCCTAAGCCATTGGAATTCCAATAACGTGGTTACACTTTTCCACCTTAACTCCCGGTTTGCCTGTTCCAAATGGAGCTTCAGACCTTTCACCCACCCGTCTTCTCTGCAGATCTCTTTCTCCTACCTTTCTGTTTCTTATCCTGTTTGCTCCTGCAGGGTCCTCAATGGGAAGTTTGTTCTTCCTTCAGGGATCCTCTCTGCGACTCTGCCTGCTTGATCCACACGGCCCAAATGCAACCCCAGCCATCTTCTCCACTGCCTGCCTTTTATAGATCCCATATGCTCCAGAAAGCAGATGCACCTGCCCACGGGTGTCTGAACGAGGCCAGAAGCTTCTAGGTGTCTATGGGACTCTGCAAGGAATGGGCAAATAGACCCCAGTTCTAACCTTGAAGCCAGTTTGCAACATCTGTGAGCATCAGGGCAGCTCAGGGTGCCAGTGTTCACACCACACATTCAGCAAAGTCAAAAACGGTACTCTAGTTGCATTCGCACAGCATGCTAATTCTGTTGGAGTGGCTCTCCTCCTCCAAGCATCGGTTCCCATCTTGTGGTAGGGAGAGCAACTGGGTGGGGTTTCACAGGGTCCTGCTCCTGTTCAACATCTGCACGAAGCTGCTGAGCGAGCTCATCCGACAGCACCGGGACGGTATCAGCAAAATGCTGATGATACCCAATTATACATCTCTACCCCGACCCCCAAGCAATCCTGTCAAGGTTCATTCTTGGTGTCTGGAGGCCGTGGGGGCCTGGATGTGGAGGAACACGCTACGGTTCAGCTCTAACATGCCTGGATCTAGGGACTTTCCAGAATTGGTTCCGAGTGGGGCGGCAGTCCCCCAAATGGACTGGTGGTCCTCCTAGACTCTCAGCTCCAGCAGTGGCCATGGCTAGGGGGGCCTTTGCGCAAATCCATCTTCTGCACCAGTTGCACTCATTCCTGGATCAGGAGGCTCTGCTCATGCCCACATCTTGGCCACTTCTCGTTTGGATTACTGCAAAGCTGTGTGTGTGGGGCTGCCCTTGAAGATGACTCAGAAACCACAGCCGGTGCAGAAGACAGTGGCATGCATAGTGAAGGCCATGCCTTGGGCAGTTGGCCTGAACATTAGGTGAGCCCATTATGAGAAGTTTACTATGCAGATCCTCAGCACGATATGCTTCTAATTTTTTGTCTATTTAGTTGCTGTTCTTAACTGGATGTTAGCCACCCAGAGTGGAATGGCGAGTTAGTGGCCATATAAAATGAGTGAATCAATCAATCTTGGTTAGATTTTTTTTTCTTTTGGCCTGGTGAACAATTGAATTCTTTATTTTAAAGACTGCGACTTGAAAATAATAAAAACTGATCATACCGTTCCAGAACGAAACATCCAAAACTCGCATTGTATAATGCAATAAATAAAGCATTCAATAAGGGAAGACTGGAATGACTCTCTTCCATGAGTTTATCCCAACTCCTTTTAAATACATCCCAATTAGGAGACATCAGTAATCTTGGGGTTAAGTCCACAGGTTAATTATGTCCCATATGAAGAAATGCCTCCTTGTCCCTTCTAAATCTCCTCCTGATCAGCCGCACCAAATAACTTCTGCTTGTGCAGTTTTTGAGATAGGAAGAAAACCTCTCCCACCCCACCCCCTTTTTATTTGTAGGGAAAGTTAGTGGCTGTCCTTGTAATATCCCTTTTCAAGGCCAGAACTGTGCACACGATTCCAGATGCAGATGTGCTATCAATTTCTATAAAATCACTGCAGACTAGGCATTTTTATTCTGACCTTTTTCTGACTGATCCCCAGCATGAAATTGGCATTTTTCACAGCTGCTGCAGATGGAGTCAACATCTCACAGGAGCTCTCCATTATGACCTCAAAATCCTTTTCCTGGTTAGTTACAGGCAGCTCCGAGACCATCAGTGGAATGGGAAATTAGGGGGTTTTTTTGCCCCAGTGCGTATTCCTGAATTGTCTTTACCATTTGATGGACAATTTGCCCTGTTTAAAGAGATCCCTCTAGAGGTCTTCACATTCGTGTTTCCTTTTTGACATTTGGTATCGTCTTCTTTCGCATCACTCTGTTCCCTTAAGATCATTTATGAACAAGTTAAAAAGCACCAATCCCAACCCTTTAGGGACTCCACTTCCTGCTTCCCTTCACTGAGAAAATTGCCCATATGTTCCTACGCTGGTTTGGAAAAAAAATCTCTGCTACAGAGATGACATGTATGAGGGTTGTTTTTTTAAAAAAAAAGTATTTGCAATCTGTTATAAGCCGTTTTAAATCAGCCAGCTCTGAACAGGTCCCATCTCAGATATGTAGACTAATTCTAATCCTGATGATGGGAGTTGTAGTTGAAGGCATTGAAGGAGGCATCATGGCAGCCCTGACGAGGTTTGCTCTACAATGCCTGTAACCAAGTTTGGACAACTTCTTAAATAAAACTGGGCCTGTGTTAGGATGTTTCTTCACTGAACATTTTTAAGGGAGTTTGTGAATTAATCATAATTAAACTTGTACACCACCCGTCTCTCAATGATTCTGGGCAGCTCACAACAATCAATTACAATAAAATCAATTAAAAGATAAAAGATAAAATATGGCAAGCACGATGAGGGGGTCTCACTTTCCCTCACCGAAGGATGAATGTGATGAAGCTGGAAGGAAAATAAGGGAGAGAAGCTTTCCTCGGACGGTGATCTGTCCTGTGGCCAAGAAGGTGGCTGTAAACCAGAGCTGGGGAATATTCTCCATAAATCAGTATTTCTAAAATTGACAGTGTCTCTGCAGGGCACAGGGACCATGACCAACGTTAAGGCATCCCTGGACTCAATGGGTCTTAAACTCATATATTTTGGTCTTTAACCCTGGCCTCCTCACCCCCATGGGAGAAAGCGCCTCTTAAGAATGAAGTGTCTGCCTTAAAACTTGAGCCTCCCAAAATCCCCCAAGGAAGGGGTGAAAATGTTGGCCCTGGATGTTCCGGGGGGGGGTATGAAGGGCACAGAAAGGTTTCTAGGGGCCCACGTGGGCTAGAGATTCAGCTAGAAATCCTCTGGCTACATCTATGGAATGGCAAAACATAATTAGCCTGCTGGGCTAAAAAGTCATGTGCATACGAACATAATCCCAGTTACCACTTCTCTAGTCCACCCAAGTACTGTATCGGGGCTACGTTATTTGATGTGAAACAAATTAACATCCAGAGAAGCCTAAAGCTTGGGTGGAAAGAAATGACCGGGGAGTCCTTGGTGCTCTGAGCTGGGTGGTTTGCTTGCAGACGTTTCATTACCTAACTAGATATTGATGATGTTACCTGGTCAGGTAATGAAACATCTGCAGGAAAACCACCCAGCTCAGAGAGCACCAAGGATGCCACTGTTCAACCCTGAGCTACAGAGGATCTCTTCTGTTGGAGAAATGACTGGAAATGCATAGATACAGTTACTGACTTTATACCCCACCTTTCCTTCAGGAGTTCAAGGTGGCAAACACAACGCTCCCTTCTATTTTGTTTTTTTTTCTCTACAACAAACCTGTGAGGTAGGTTGGGCTGAGAGGGAGGGTCTGGCCCAAAGCATTCAGTGGACAGGGCTTGGCTTTCTTAGACCGTCCAGCTAATTATCCACAGGATTGCTTTTCAACGGCTCTCAAAAGTTCTACCTTTCTGATAGATACAATATAGAGAGTGCAAACTTTTCCTGGGGTTCATGCCTCTCTTCCTGATTTTGCTTCTACATCCCATTTTGCAAGTTAACTTTTTTTTTATGTTTGCTAATGATTAATAAATAAACATCAAGCTATATATTTTTTTGCTAGCTGAATGGCAGGTCTGCTTGCCCTGGTCTGGATATAGGGACTGACCGGGAGAGTGCCGAGGGCAAACCTAATTGAACTGACCCCCGGTAATTTTCTAACAACATCCAGAAGGAGCCACCTTCAGGGCACCTTTGAAAAATCACCCTTAAGTCACCCCAATTTTTAGATGGGGGCATTATTAAAACATGCTAGGGACGGAACATCATGGATTAAAATTGAGTTTAATTATGTTTACCTTATCATTAATTGACATTTAGTTTCAGGTAGCATGGCCCCAATATGGCACTCGAAAAGTCAGGTGGGGCCTTACAAGCCTCCAAAATGTGTGTGCAGGACCTCAAGGCAATATCCTATTCACACTCCCATGTGCTCCCCCCCAACTCTCATTCACAAACAACCGCCAAAGGATTCTTCTGGGATGAGAGCCATCTCTGGTCTATACTAACAGGACACACGCTTGCTTTAGGAAGATCTCAGCTCCAGAGCAAAGAGACAGGGAAGCACAACTAATAAATCACAAGAATCCATCAATCTTTTGGTCTTCAGCTTCACACTGTAACATTCATCTGCAACAGCTGTCTATCGATATGACGAGCAGGTTGTAAAGTTGAATCTCTGCAAATAAATATCAACCCGGAAGAGAGGACTGCACTGGCATTTTCTCTCCCATCAAAATCATTTCTGCCCCATCGTGAGGGTTCCTAAGCTTTCTCTCCACTATGGGTTCTCATGTGGGCCATGAGATTTGAGCTTGACCCAAAACTTTTCCCACAACCAACACACAAATAAGGCCTCTCCCCAGTGTGGATTCTCTGGTGCCCGATGAGGTGCGATTTTTGGCTGAAGCGTTTCCCACATTCGGAGCACTGAAAGGGCCTCACTCCCGTGTGTGTCCGCTCATGGGTGTTAAGGTTAGAGCTCACACTGAAGCCTTTGCCACAGTGCGCGCAGACATAGGGTTTTTCTCCCGTGTGAGTCCGTTGGTGGCTGGTCAAATGCTGCTTCTGGCTGAAACTCTTCCCACAGTCTAGGCACTTGTAGGGTTTATGGCCAGTGTGGATTCGCTCATGCGCAGTGAGGTCTGAGCTCACGCAGAAGTTTTTGCCACACTCCAGGCATTTAAAAAGTTTCTCCCCGGTGTGGATTCGCTGGTGCCTGTTGAGGTGTGACTTCCCACTGAAGGTCTTTCCACAATCGGAGCACGTAAAGGCTTTCATGCTAGCATGGACTCGCTGGTGACCGTTCAGATGCACGCTTCCGCTGAAGATCTTCCCACACTCAAGGCACTGGAAGGGCTTCTCGCCAGAGTGCGCTCTCCGGTGGCCAACAAGCTGGGAGCTGTGGCAGAACGTTCTCCCACAGTCTGAGCATTTGTAAAGCTTTTCGCCAGTGTGGGATCTCCCGTGCCTGCGCAGGTCCGGGCGGGCGCTGAAACCTTTCCCCCAGCACAGGCACTGAAACAGCTTTTCTCCCAAATGGCTTCTCAGTTGACAGGTGAAACCGCTGGTGTGGCGGAAGCATTTCCCGCATTCTGAGCATCTGTAAGGTTTCTCTCCAGTGTGGGTTTTGAAATCCGAGCTCGCGCCACACCTCGGACCGCAATGCAAGCAGGAGTGGAGTTTTTCTGCTGGGTGCATGCCTGGGTGGATTACGAGGTTGGATCTCAAAGCAAATGTCTTGGCACACGCCAAACCCTTGTGCACTTTTTCTCCTGGCTGGTTTCTCTGGTGAGAAATACAATCCATGGTCCAGCTGAAGGGCTTCCCATCCAGAGGACGTACATTTGGTTCCTTGCGCCTAAGGACCTTGTCTTCTCTTCCGCTGAAATCCTCATCATCTCTCCAAGAAGGAACAGAGTTACTTCCTTGTTGCTTCGCTTCAGAGTGACTCGCAGAGATCTCTCCGCTTGGCTGACATGAAGAACAGCTTTCAGCCGCCAATCCTTGGGATTCTACGGGATCAGCCACTTCCAGGTGCAGTTTCTTTTCCTCCTCACCCTGAATCCAGTCAGCTGGAAAGAGACAGCGAGGCATCAGACTCAGAAAGCATTCTAACGTGCAAAGAAAAAAATAAGGCACAGCGAGAAACTGGGAGGAAGACATAGTAACTGCTGAACTGTATAGTTTGTAAGACTGCAGAACTGCTCTGGGGACGAGGAAGCAGGACAGCACAGGCATAGGACCGTCGGCACTGTGTACAGGCATTTGTCGCAAAGCACAACCACTAATGCACTGATGCTGGTGGCACAGAAGCGTGACTAATAAATAATTAAAAACAAACTCTACAAGAATGTGAACAATGCAAAAACAAGGGCTCACCAACAGTGCCAAGGCCCCTGGTATCCTCTTGTTTGGGCTCGTTGTACGATGGTTTGGGTTCGGTACCCGGCAGGTCACTCGGTCCTTCTGCGAGATTAGCAGATACTTCAGAGAACAGCATCTGAAAAGAGAAGGATCCTGATCAGTCAGGGCAGAGGGGCAGAGGCAGAATGGTAAGCGGGAAGGCTGTTAAAAGCTTTCTAGCCTCGGCCCCTAATTTAGGATCAGAACACGGGACCTCCACGGAGGCAGGCTGGGGAAGGCAGATGGTGGCCCAGCCAAGCTCCCAGCCCATTAACTGGATTTGGAAGGTTGCAGGTTTGATCCCTTAAGAGGGAAAAGAGGAAGATGCACTGACTCTCAAGGCAGAAGGGAGCCCACAGTGTTCACGGAGGCGCCCTTGACACAGCACACGAGAGATGGTGCTCCCCAGAGCCAGCAGTGTTGGGCCAGGTTAATAGAGGACCTGTGATTTACATTTCAATGCAATTAAAACAAAAGAGCATTACGCAAGTGCAGTTCATAGTTCCTGTGTGTTTAATCATTTTCCTGGTGCCCACATCACAAACCACTCCTCAAGAGGACTAGGACTAGATATGGGAAGCAGGACTAGACCACATTCCATCCATGCATTTTCTATACTTCTGGGCATCACATCTCCAAGGTCACAAGCAGGGCTTTTTCTCTTCCTCCTCCCTGCCTGTCTGGGACTGACCCAGGACCCTCGGCATTCAAAACAAGAGCAGCCTCCTGAAACACGCTCCCCCCACTCCTTCCACCCCCCCAAAAGGCAGCCTGATGCTCCCACCTGCTTCCCCTGCCTCTCCTCAGCCTGCTCCTGCCTCTGTAAGAAATCCTCGGCCAAGGCCACTGCTTGACGGCAGGTCTCCGGCTCGCCCCCTCTCACCCAGCCCTGTAGCTCCGGGGGCAGGATGGCCACAAACTGCTCCAGGACCACCAGCTCTAACATCTGCTCCTTGGTGCTCCTCTCCGGTTGTAACCACTGCCAGCAACGTCTGGAGAGTTCCTGGTAGACATCTTTCGGTTCTTCGGCCTCCTGGTAGAGGAACCTCCGGAAACGTTGGCGTTGCCCCTCTGCACTGAGGACCTCCTCCTTCACTGGTTCGGTTGCCCCACAGAGGCCAATGCTCTCAGGAGCCTGGGCTGCTGCAGACCCAGGATCAGGAGATACCCGCTGGGTCTCTCTTTGAGGGCTTGACAGCACCAGCATCCTTTGCTGTCTTGCGGACCACTGACCAGCAGCAGCTGGTCCCCCGATGGGAGAGGTCACAGCATCCCACTCTGTTTGTGGGCATTCAAGGGGCAGGTCAGAACCCTGTTCCACTTTCACAAGTTCCAGAGGACTCCAGCAGTGACGCGTCTCCTCATCGGGTTCCTCTTTTACCCAGTGCTGCGTCCTGCCAGACAGGGATGTGGGACCCAGACAAGGTGCTTCCCTCGGTTCAGCAGCCATCGCCTCCTACTAAGAAATCAAGCACAGAAAAAGCCATTTCCTCCAATCTGACACCTGGAAGTTTTAAATTTCTGAGCCCAGCCATCCAGAAGCGTTCAGGAGTCAACCTTCAACCTCAGACCAGCATCGTTCTGTGTGAAAGGGCTGTATGGCGTGAAAAGGGTGCAGAGAAGTGAGCTTTCTTCCCTGATCTTTCACAATACTAGGGCCCAACAGTGCCATACCATAAAGCTAAAAGGTGGAAAGTTCAGGATAGATAAAAGAACAAATTCTCTCAGGACATAGTTCAGCCTGTGGAACTGCCTCCCACAAGATAAAGCTTCCCACTTGCATCACTTTAGAAGAGGCCTAAATAAATCCACAGAAGGCCAGGCTATTGGTCATAGTAACTGTATTTTAATTTCAGGATCAGAAACAATAGACGTTCAGTATTGGATGGCATGAAACACAAGGGAAAGGAAACAGCTGTTATCTCCAGCTTTCAAGAGATATTTGATCAGACGTGGTGGAAGAGAATGCTGGAGTAAAGATGACTTTGGCCTCATTTAGCAGCAAAGCTCTAAAATTTTCTCAAAAGTAAATATGACTATATTCAAAGGCATTAGAAACCAATCTATAAATGCCTTTTCTCCAATAAGCTCTTTTTCTTCCCATGCTTTCAAATGCCAAATACCAGATCAAACTTTTTTTTTCAATTTATCCATTATTTGTTGTTGTCCAGATTTTTTTCTTTAAGACAGAATTATTATTTTTCCTTTGTCTGTACAACAGTGGATCAATCTACCTATGGAGCTTGCAGATTCTCCATCTCTGGAGATTTTTAAGAAGAGATTGAACAATCACCTCTAATGGGTAGTTTAATTGACTTCTTTGTACATTGCAGAGGGTTGGCCTAGATCAGTGTTTTCAAACTTGGCAACTTTAATGCTGGCTGGGGAATTCTGGGAGTTGAAGTCCACCCATCTTAAAGTCCTGACTGGGGAATTCTGGGAGCTGAATCCACCCATCTTAAAGTGCTGGCTGGGGAATTCTGGGAGTTGAAGTCCACCCATCTTAGAGTTACCAAGTTTGAAAAACACTGGACTTCCAACTCCACAATTCTATTATTCCTTAAACAGAGCTGAAGCCCAAGGCTATCATAAGGATATGCAGCCTTGAATTCAGAGCAGGAAGGATGGAAAACGCTATATCATTGTTCTGTGCACATCCAGCTATGCCAAAAAAATAATAATAATAAAATGGCAACTTTCATTCTGAATTGTTTATAGGGAAATCTCAGGTCAATAATCACTTCTGTACAAAAGCGCACAGGATAACTCCGGCAAACATTATAGGCATCTTAAATTATTTTCAGGGGTTGATTGCTGTTTCAAAGTTGGTTTGGGCAGCCCAAGGGCTCCCTGCGACAACACAAGGGGACTTTAAGCAAGGACAGCCTGGTTTTTGCCAGACGTAATCCTGGTTCACTTATACCAGTGTTGTCCAAACTTGGCCACTTTAAGATGAAGTCCACTCATCTTAAAGTGGCCAAGTTTGGACAACGCTGACTTATACCGTTTGCTGACTACATTCCAATTAACTGAGTTCACAGCACAGGCCAAACCATGACCCATGGTTATCATATACACCCCAGTAGTGGCATTCACACCACAAGCTGACCTATGAATCCTTGCTTATAAACCCCAACTGGCTGCATTCTACCTCATGCTGAAGTAAAAATCATGGCTTACAAACCCAGTTGCTTGCATTCATATCACAACCTGACCTATAAAGGTTGTCCCCTTCTGAAGAGCCTCCCTGCCAGATCTCCACAGGCCCCCAACCCTCTTTAGACTTCTGGAAGGCCATCAAGCCCCCCAAACACTGGGCTAGGATGGAAAGGAGGCCAGCAAATGGGGAGTTGATGGGGTGTCACGGGGGAAATATGACTCTTTAATAAGGGGTGTGTATTAGTTTCCATTTGTATTATCTGTGGTTGTGAGCTGCCTAGAATTATTGTGTATAAGATAGGTGGCCATACAAGTTTTATAAATCAATCAATCCTAGTTTACACTCCCCAACTGCCTGAAGTATTGCCACATATTGAACCATCAACCCTAGCTTACAAACCCAATTGCCTGGATTCACACAACCTGAGCTATAAATCCTGGCTTAAAAACCCAAACTGGCTGAGTTCACACGATACAAACCATGGTTTACAAACCCCAACTACCTGAGCTCACCCTACAAGCTGAGTATGAATCCTAGTTTACACTCCCCAACTGTCTGAAGTCCCACCACCTATTGGACCATAAATCCTGGCTTACAAGCCCAATAGCTTGCGTCCGCATCACAAGCTGAGCCATGAGCCCTATTTACAACCCCCCACCAGCTGAGTCCACACAGGCTGAGCCCTAAACCATGGCTGACCCACCCCGGGGACTGAGCCCTGCTGCAGCTGCCCTCCAACTGCCCGAACCAGCCACCAGCGCTGCGGTCCCGCAACGCCCGAGCCTCGACCTCGCCTTTCCAACGTCCCCGCCCCCAGCGGGCTTCCCACCGCAGGTGCCTCCAGCTCCGGCTGAGCCTGTCCCGGGACTCCAGAGCGAGGGTCGCCCCGCCAACCTTCCTGCACGCCTGGAAAATGCAGGAGAGAAAGCCCCCCGCCAAAAAGGGGACGCGAGCCCCGCTCCCGGGAATGCGGCGGAGGCGCCGCACTTGCAACCGGGCGCTCGCGTGCCCCGAAGGAGCGGCCCCTCCCCCACCGTGGGCGGGTCAGGAAGGAACTCGGGGCTCGGAGGCAGAGCGCCCACTCCCCAATTCCGGGGCTTCTCTAGGACTCCGTACTCGGATTTTTAACCCATCGAGCCCCGTGGCCAAGCCCGCCTCACCTGCGGTCGCTCCCGATTAAGGGTAACATCGCCCACCAGCTGAGTCCTGGCGATTTTCGAGGCACGTCCGTGTAGTTAGTTAGTTAGTTAATTTCTTTCTTTCTTTCTTTCTTTCTCTCTCTCCCTCCCTCCATTCTTCCTCTTTTTTCTTTTCTTTTCTTTTTTCTTTTCTTTTCTTTTCTTTTCCTTTCCTTTCCTTTCTCATTCATTCATTCATTCATTCATTCATTCATTCATTCATTCATTCATTCATTCATTCATTCATATAGTGCAGTGTTTC